ACTGCTTCAAATCCAAGAGCCGCTGTTGCCGGCCGGAGCTCGTCGGCTCTCTCGAGCTTTGACGCCATGTCTGATCTAGATTCATGACGTGCCCTCGCATATGGCTTTGTCCATGGTTTGAACCTTTGGATTCAATTCAAAAGTTGAAAATGGTTTGGACTGGGTTGGATGACGCGCATGTATAGTTCGGTTTGGTCTAGATTCTAAATGAAAATATCTTGATTGGTTTGGTTTTGATGTGTGCCGTGGATTGGACTGGTTTTAGTTTCGATGCCGAACTATTCCCAGGTTTAGATGAGACGGGCATTGCCATTGTCATTGGCATTGCTTTATTACGTAGATGATAGAAAATAGATTGATTGGCCATTGCCAGTATAGGTTATCACTATGATTTATTATATGTATGATCTTTGTATTGTACTATGTACAATTCAACTTAGAGTTCAACATGTTCTGTGTAGAATGGAGGAAGCACAATGTGGATGCTGCAACTCACGGTGCCGGACCAGCCTTTCTACTGCCACGTTGTTCGGCATCTACTTCCAGCCTTCTTTTGTTGTTGCAGCGGTAATAATTTATATGAACCTTCTGACAGTATATTCTTTTTGTTTTTCTTTGCTATTTCCACTAATGTATTGTGTCTGCTATTTGTTTTTATCTTACACAGATCGTACATGCAATGTGAGATTGGCATTCAATGAGCTCATCGCAGACACCGTGACCTTCGACGCTCTTGGGGGCCCATACACTATGCAGGTCGAGAAGGGGCGAAAGATAACCCAGATAGGAGGAGATGATTGGGATCGTTTCATCGCCCGCATGCGTCTTAGTGGGGGTGAATTGATCAGCTTCTCCTTCAGAAGAGATAGGCCCAGGATTTCTGTTATCTATCTAAATTTGATTCCGGATAGTGAGGATGAAGTTCATGAGGAGGAAGATGGTGCTGATTCAGATGATGATGAGAACCCACTTGTTGAATACCTGTATGCCCAAGGACTCAGACTGGCGACGAGGAAATCGGCAACTTACGGGACATGCTTCCGCTACGTGAAGACTGCCTAGGGAAGCCATTCGTGACCCGCCTCACAAGGACGAATGTTAAACGGCATATCATGGTATGTTACTTAGTGTGGTAATTACATGATATGCATGCTTAGTTAGTGTAGTAGTTCATATGATATGCATGTTGTAGTACTGTGATGAGAGGCCTAGTTTAGAATTCATTTAGTGAAGAATTTTATGACATGCATGTAGTGTAGTAATATGCGATGATATGCTTAGTGTACGCAGTAATCTAATGATATGCCTAATTACTGTAGTAATTTGATGCTTGGCGTATAGTGTAGTGATGTGATGATATATATGCTCAGTGTTGAATCCAATGATATGTGTGTCTTGAAGTGTATGCTTTGTTGATAATTGCACGTGACATGATCATATCATGTCAACTATTTTCAGAAATTACCTAAGAGGTTACTTGATAGCTGTGGCATCGACCCGGGCGAAGAAGGCATGGCTGCTGGACTACGCCTTACCAGAACGGGCTCCATCACCAGCTGTGCCTATGCAGTGGACACGGACGATTGCACTGTCTTGAGCAGGGCAGGGTGGAAGAGGTTCCTTCGTGCCAAGAATCTTCGGGTAGGACAGGCCATCCTACTCACTGTTGCGAACACCCATCGCCATGACTTGAGGATGATGATCACCATCCACCTCATTTAGAACTGGGGTGGGACATGTATCAATGTGAAATGAACTTGTTATGTTAGCTCTTGTTTGCGAGTACTTGTCGTGTATTACCGTACCTATATCTACTCATATCTAGGTACTATTGCTTGTGATGGATTGCAACTATTATTAATGGGTAACTAATGCTCTATTAGCTATGATTATTCCACTGTGTGATGTTTTATATGCTGTAGTGTGACATGGTAACTGTTATATATGGTAGAGGCTGGTCTCTAAGACCTTGTACAAAGCAAGGTTCTTAGGGATGTGCTTCCACTGTGTGATGTTTTGTACGTGCCAGGTTGTAGTATGAAATGCTCACTGTTCTATATGGTAGTGGCTGGTCTCTAATTGGACCGACATGTTGAACTATAGTATCAATGGTAGAGGCGTTTCGTTGTGCGCCACATCCAACAGTTCACATAATTAATTATCCAAAGATTAAGGTATGAAACCATTGGTCCTACATAGCAACATTTTGTTCCAAAAATTAAGGTACTTCCACATTCAAACTAACTAATACTACAAATTCGAAGGAACTACTTAATACATTAACAGCACATAGGGAAGTAGCCCTGGTCCAACGGCTTGAGAAATGATGAACAAAAACTGAAAGAAGAAGGATCAGCCAGTAGAAGCATCATCAGCCTCACAGCCTCACAACTTCAGCCAGCCTGGTGAACTTCGGGTTTTTTCCTGCAAAACACACATGTGATGTAGGAGGCAAGAAAATAAATATGACAGGGGTCTTGTCATGGCATCTAATCGCACGGAATGCTAGTACAAATGATGGAGAACAAAACATCCAACATGAGCAAATTCATAGGAGTTCTAGATCCATGGATACCATCAAGAAAAAATGCTCAGTTTTAATTCAGACACAAGACTTGGTGAAAACATGCATATTCATATCAGCAACATTGATATGGCATCTTTGCAAGCTTGGGTCAGTGACTTGTCTTGTGTTTCATGGCATGACAATAATTTTAACAATAAATAGACATGAAATTGACCCAAACTCATGTACAAAGTTATGCCATATGATGCATGGATTAATTCACACATAAATGACAAAATGCCAACTTTGTATAGAATTTGCAGTACTGAAATATTTCAGTGTGTACTGAAACTGCAGTAGTGAAATAATTCAGTGTGCATCGGTGTGTACTGAAATTGTAGTAACGAAATATTTCAGTGCCTACCGGTGTGTACTGAAATATTTCAGTGTCTACCACTACAACATTACAAATTTTGCCTAGGGCAGTACCGAAATATTTGAGTGCCTACCGGTGTGTACCGAAATATTTCAGTGTCCACCACTACAACATTACAAATTTTGCCTAGGGCAGTTCCGAAATATTTCAGTGCCTACCGGTGTGTACCGAAATATTTCAGTGTCTACCACTAGAACATTACTAATTTTTCCTAGGGTTCATATGATGCCTAGGGTTCACATACATCATAATCCATCCTCCAAATCCATGTACTCAAATATTCATGCAATTCATTGAGATTAAAATGCCATCTAGCATTCCCTCTCTGAGCTATTACGATCAGTATCACCACGATGTAAGCACGAGCAGTAGGAAGATGAGGAGTGGGGAAGCTTACTCTAAACATAGCTACCGCCGCCGTTCAGACGAGGAGAGCGGCGAGGGAAGCGTGGAGAACGGCGGGGAAGCGAGGTCGCGACCACTGTCCTCCTCATCTTGCGCTTCGGAGTCTCCGGTGACTCGATTGGAGGCTGCACAATCTGCAACGGCACCTCGTGCACGGTGGGTTCCTGATCCAGTGGATGCTCTATCCTGGATCTGAACGCCCACCACCTGCGCCTGGTCCACTCGCTGGACGAATTGGCCTGCTCCATCGCCCAGAGGAGGATCTCGATCTTGTGAATCGGTTGTGCGGGCGGGGGGCAAAGCTTTGCCCTCTCCTTCTTCGTCAAATTCTTGAGAGTGGCCATTGCCGTCCAGTTCATCTGCCTTGCGTTGTCAAACCAACAACGGATCTCCCTCAACCTGGCCAACTTGACCTGGTCGCCGCCGGTGATCTGCACGAAGTCGGTGTTCTCGCCGCCGGCCATCAGCTCAATCTGCCGTGGAAGAGGGGGTGGGGGTGGGTGGGGGGGTTGCCTGAGTGGAGCGAAGTTGCAGCGGCAAGAAGGAGGAGATGACTGCGGTGGACTTGGAGGAGAGGGAGGAGATGGCCGCCGATGAGTAATTGTGGAATGTGTAGCACCATGGCGGCGGTTATGCATTCGACGAGAGGGGCGGCGCGTGCAAATTTTCCTAGGACTAAACTGCCCCTAGATTAAAACGCGTCCCCACCTTGTCACGAGTACCGGCCCCACTCGTTTTAGTACTTTCGCGTACTTTCATCGGAGTACTACCCAGTACTTCGTATTTGTCTGCCGTTAGATCGATATCAACGAACGGTTCTAAAAAAGCCCAACCACTTTAAAACTTGTATAATTTTTAACATGTGTGAATGTGTGTGGCCTATGGCCAGGCTGGCTGCGTGTGGGTATTTAGGGCCTCTTTGATTCGCAGGATTGTCAAAATGAAGGAATAGGAAAAATGCAGGAATAGGATGTCATGTCCCATAGTATGCTACAGGATTTGAAAGAATGTTTGATAGCGCAGGAAAAACAAAGGAATTCTACAAAGAGGTTTGAGTGGATGGAAATTTTCTTCCAAAATATAGTACAAATGGATTTTATGAAAAAATTCCTTAGACTGTCAATCCTACAAATCAAACGAGCATCACAGAAAAAATTCCTAAGGATTCAAATCCTCCAAAATTTCCATGCAATTCCTTTGAATCAAAGGAGCCCTTAACCTGAACCGAACAGAGGAGTTGGCATGAATGAGCATGTATGTCAATCTCACTTGTTGTTCTCTGTCTCTCATTTTCTTTCTCTCCAAGTCTCGTCCCTTTTCCTCTGCCTACCCTCTCCCCTGGTGCGATATCGATCCCTCGGGAGGTCACGTCGTCACACTCTAGAGCATATGGTCGAGCCTGCGGCTAAAGCTGAGGTATCCACGGTACAAGTTCTCTTAAATGTTTTGCATTGTGGGTCATGCCCCAGTTATTACATACACGACGAGTTGAGGGGTGCTGCTCCGTCAACTCATCACAAAAAAATAAAAAATAAAAACTCATCACATGTTTATTTCTTTCTTTCTAAACAACAATCTATACTGCTCCTACTCCACACGTACTACTACAACACAACAACAGCAGTAAGTAAAGGCAAAATGGATGTATACTAACTAGGCCGAGCCAGACGGGGAACCCCCCTGCAAGGTCATCTTCATGCTTGCATACATGAGCAGGATGACGAGAGCGAGCGTGGCGCCGAGGCTGGACACGAGGACGACACGAACCATGGTGAGCGGCAAGGCCTCCCAGCATGCGACCACCAGCGGGTGCGCACTTGGGTGCTGCGCTTTCACGTACAGGCCGAGCCCCGCCGTCATGAGGTTGAAGATCCCGGTGGTGGTGCCCATGCAGATGCCCAGCCACGCCAGCAGCTGCACAACATAAAAAAGAAATACAACGAATTACTACTCAGAGACCAATTGGATTTGCATGGTCCAGCCACATATGCCGTGGATACCCGTCTTAATTTTTCGAAAAGGAACAATAAATTGTCAAAACTGTATCTTGGAAGCAGAAATGATCACCTTTCCCCCCTCTCTGTAGGGTCTATAGCTATCCTCACATTCCAGGCCATCGGCTCCAGCTGCTACAAGTTTAGCCTACAAGTTTGCGGGCCACGATGTCGTTTGGTAGCAATAAATTAACAACCAGAAGAGAAAAGAAAACCAGTTGCAGTCACAAGAAAACAATATCAAATTTATCCAAGTAATACCTTTGCCCGTTCATCTCCGACGTTATCACTTCCGCTGGAACAAAAAGACCGACCAATGGTTAGGGATCTCGAATTACCTTAAATTAAAAATTGTATATATCTACCTGAATGTACTCGAGCAGGATTTCTATGTCAAGTTAAGCTAATATATTAGAAGAGTTACTTTCTCCAATTAAAATAAAAATACAAGGGTTACACATGACAAACAAATCTGCCTCAACGGTTTTTACAAGAGTACAGATGATGAATAAAACACAGACGTTTAATTAGTTTTTTTGCCTACTGGGATCAGGCAGGAGAATGTACAAAGTCGCATTTTCTATGTATGAGTATTCCTGTCCCATCAAAGGTTCTAGAAAAGTAATCATGAAACAATAACCCGGTACAGGAACGACGTATTTACTGAAAGTGTTGTATGAGACTTTGAGTACCTGTGTAGAACAAGGGCTTCTTTTCCATGAGAATCACATATGTGTTTGAATCCGGTAATATTCATCCGGCCAAACTGCAGAACAAGAAGTCACAACAAAAGAAATATAATATATACTATTATGTGTTGGTTGAAAAATCATGATGCGTACCAGTTCTGCAAACTTTTTGAAGCTTCCCTGCTCCTCCGGCAAAAATGTAGCTAATACCGCTTCTGGTTTTCGACCAACATCAGGAAGCTCAGCTACTAATCTAAGTGTATCAAAGTTCATATTTGCACCGCTACTTATTGCAACCACAGTTTCCCCTTTCAAACCATAGTATTTGCAGTAAGCTTCAGCCCCAGCCAAGGCAAGGGCCCCAGAAGGTTCAGGGATATTCCTGTTCTCCTCAAACATATCCTATGCCCATGAAAAACAACATTTTCAGTATGAATAACATTGTTAATGCAGAACATCCACAACAATCTATCATAAACATTCCACAAGCATGACAGCGGTAAGATTGGCATAGAACAAACTGCAGAGCTAAAATTTCCACCATCCTATTTTTGAGCAATGTTAACAGGATGCTCATACGTAGTTAATTTTAAAGAAGACATTAAAAATACCAATATCCACAGCAAGAACTGAAACTAAATAAACTAGGCCACATTATCACATAATCCACACCATTATAACACTTCTATTCTAGTGAAACTGAAAGCTTCTATTCAAGTGAATTGAGTAGTTACAGTGATAAAATAGGTCACTATTCAGTAATGCACCCATTTGACATAACAAGGCGGAGCAAACATATAATAAGTTGATCACTCTCACCTTTATTGAAGCACAAATAGCATCTTGGCTGACCAGGACAATGCCATCTACGAAATTTTGACACAGGCGAAATGTCTCCTTGCCTACAACTTTGACAGCTACACCATTAGCAAACCCTCCAGCATGTTTTAACATGACCCTCTGGCCATGACACAAGGACAATGCCATGGCATTTGCATCTGAGGGCTCCACTCCAATTATTTTGACCTGCACCAGAATTGTTGTAAGCATACAAGAAAGTGACAGCCTGAATACAAATATTTTACCCCAATGTAACCAAATGATGTGTTGTGTTCAATCTGGAGAAGGATTACAGTTAGGTGATTGGATGAAAAACAATTGATTCCAGAATGCACTTAAAATAGGGCCATTTACTTTAATGGCATTTTATTCGCAAAAAAAATACTTTAATGGCATTTAAAAATAACTTAGGTGTCTTGTGATGTTTTTCATAGCAAAAGAAAATACTCCTGGGTTTGAAAGCTAACCTCAGGGCGGACCCGTTTTACATAGGCAGCAATTCCAGCAATTAACCCACCACCTCCCACAGGTACAAATATTGCATGTAATGGACCTTGCAATTGGTGAACAATTTCCATGCCAACAGTTCCTTGTCCAGCAATAATATCGGGATGGTCAAAAGGAGGTATGAATGTGCGGCCTTCCTCTTGACAGCGTAGTTTTGCATATGATTGAGCTTCATCGTACGAGTCTCCTTTGAGAATGACTGTCGCACCCAATCTCTCCACTGATCGCCACTGGATTAAGTTATATGTTAATAGCTGGTGATAATAACTTAAATATACCATATAAACAACATATTTAAGGTAATGTACTCGAGAGATCGATAACCTTGATTTCTGGTGTTGTCACAGGCATGACAATAATGGCATCACAGCCCAGTTTTCGAGCAGAAAGAGCAACTCCTTGAGCATGGTTTCCAGCAGAGGAGCAGATAACGCCATTGTTTAACTGCTCTTGGGAGAGCTTTGACATCATATTATATGCACCTCTCAACTTGAATGAAAATACCTATGCATATAACAAACAAAAATTATCTAGGTATGTAAATCGCCAATGACACAGACAGTGAGAGCTCCATGTGCATTAAAAAACAGAAGATAGTGGATAGTTCAGCTGGTCATTCAACTTAAAACTAAGAAAAATGGTAAACAATGAAAGCTAAGGGCAAGAGGACCATATATCTATACAATATACTACCAAACATATGCATGAGAGATAAAGTTCTTAAGTTTGCACCTAGGTCACCCGCGCCCCTCTCTGATACCATTATGTCAATCATAATAACACTACATGATCTGATATATCAATTAGGCCCAAACTTGCACATGTCCTAAACTTGCCGTTGTTCACAAATTTTAATATTATTAAGCCCACAACAAAATACTACTACTATATTATTGCAAATAAGCAAAACTCAGTCGTAGCTGAGATCAGGGGATGTATCCAGGTTAAAGGCACTTTCAGGGGAACTTGTACCCAAGGTCAGCTACCACAGTAGGTTGAGCATGAAGTATTGCTAGCAGTACTTGCTGTTCTGATGCAGAAGATTCTTTGTAATGAAAATATGAAGCAAATGGTACCTACTCATGTAGCTCCCTATACGATATAAGATTATCAACTTGGGTGGGAGGAAGCCGCATCCATGGCCGCCACAGCAAAGCCATGGAGCTCGCCAACCCGACGGAGAAGCGCCCATCCAGACTGACAGCAAGACAAGGGGGACCTGCTGTCCCGCCCACGGCTGCACCCCACGTGGAGAGCAGGCCGCATCCATGGCCGCCATCTGCCTGCCAAGGAACTGCCGACCTGTGCAAACGCAGCAGCAAGCCGATAGACGAAAGAAGAGCAGAGTCGGCCGGCCAACACCACACCGGGAAGCCCATGCCCATGGGCACCCACCAAGCACCACCCCACGCCTACGCGCGCAAGTCAAAGGGGGAAGCCCGAACTGCAGGATCCAGGCAGCGACAGATCGGGGGCGAGCCCGGTGGAGCGCCGCCGCCTGGTGACCACCCCCCGCACCGCGCAAAGGCTGGCCCATCCCGCAGCCTAGCTAGAGGACGCGCCAACGCCCGCACGCGCCACCACCGGAGCGCCCAAAACGCAGCAGATCTCGCACGAGAGAGCCAAAAAACCGCGCGAGGAACGAGGCCCCGGCGACGTGTGCCGGCGGCGGCAGGGGAGGGAGGGGGGTGACGCTCCTGCGAGGGCCTTATGTCAACGCCAAGGTGAGACCGACTGAGAGAGGAATCTAAACAAGGCTCCAGCGTAGAAACGAAGGCCTGACTGAACCCGCATAGCATGTAGTATACCTATAGCATCTATTTGGAACGGAGGGAGTATATATTAGTACCGGCTGCAGGTCCTCGCGCTTGATGCGGAGGTCGACCCCGAGGCGCTCCGAGAGCTTGCCGGCGCGCTCCAGCGGCGTCTCGACGGCCACGTCGTACACCTTGGAGGCCAGCACGGCCGTCAGGTACTCCATGGCGCCGGGCCCGCCCAGGTCCCCAGTCCCGCGGCTCGGCACGCCCACGAGGGACCCGCTTGCGGCCTGCAGCGACTCGGGCGCCACCCGCTTCAGCGGCACCGAGCAGGCGACGGCGACGCGCCGCGCGCCATGGCGGTCGCTGCGAGGCGCGGAGAGGAAGGTGGCGGCGGCGGCGGTGGCCATTCTGCTCTCTTTCTCGGTGCAACGTTACGTTTGGGCGGAGGGTGGAAGGTGGTTTCGTTTCGTCACGGGCGGGAGGGATATATATATATGGTGTGGCGGCCTGGCCAGGTTGGACGTGCGCGGGTGGGCCCAGGCGCGAGATCGGGCCGTCAGGTTTTTCTGCGCTGGCGCCCTTTTTGTTGGCGCTTCTGCGGTCCATGCCGCACGCAAACTCTGTGGAGCCACGTGCGAGAGGCAGCTCAGCCCGGTCACGCAATTTGCCTCCTGACTCGGTGAAATCGACCTCCGCTGACCCAGTTCGGTGGCCTCGGCGTGAAGAACCTGCAATTGCAAGCTTTGGCGCTGCGTGTTCGCTGGGAATGGCTCCGTAGAACAGACCCAGGCAGACCGTGGCAAGGTATTCCCATGTCCCATGATCAGTTGGCAAGGCAGGTGTTCGACAGCCTTGTGTTGATCAAGGTGGGCGATGGAAGTCGTGTGCTGTTGGAGGGATAGATGGATTCATGGGTTTGCGATCATTGACATCGCACCGCTGATTCGTAGCAGCGTGGATACTCGTACGCGCAACCGGAGTGTTAGAATATATAATCGTATTAGTTTTGTATAGTTATATGGTTGTATACGTGTAGTCCTTGTATAGGTGTCCGTATATTGTACGATACGAACTCCGCCTTGTATCCTATATATATTGATCAATACAAGGCACCACAACGTGTGGTTTCCCTAATCTTACATGGTATATAGCCTAAAATCCTAACCCTAGCCTGTGCCGCCCTCCTCCTCTTTCCGCTGCCACCGAAGCCACCACCCCGATCGCCTCCGCCGCCGCGCCCCGATCGCCGCCTCCATGTCGCAGCCCGACGCGGACGCCACGAACCAGGCGCTGGCCGCGGCCAAGGAGCGCCAGGACGCCGAGGCCGCCAAGGCCAAGCTGCCTCTCGCGACCGCCCCCGATGGATCTGGGACGAGCGTGGGGTCTTTCTCCCTGACCTCGCTGCACGCCCAGGCCGTCGGCCTGCACTTCATCAAGGGACACGTTCCCGTCGAGCTCGCGCTTGACACCGGCGTTCACCGTCAGTGGCGCACCTTCTTCCGCGCCGCTTGCCGCAAGTACGCCCTCCTGGATCACCTCGACTTTGACGCCCCCGACGCGCCAAACCCGGAGTGGTCTCTCCTCGACGCCACCGTCGTCTCTTGGCTCTATGGGTCTGTCTCGCTCAGCATCCTCGACGCCGTCATGACGCCCGGTGACGATCCCCTCGCCGTCGATCTCTGGAACAACATCAACGGTCTCTTCAACGACCACAAGATCAATCGTCAGCTCCACCTCACGGCCGAGCTCGGCGATGTCAAGATGGGAGAGATGAGCATGGCCGACTATCTTCAGAAGGTCAAATCCCTCTCCGATGGGCTTGCGGATCTTGGCGCCCCCGTTGATGATGCTGAGATGGTGGTCCACTGCCTCAACGGCCTCTCCGAGCAGTACGAGGCCGCTGCTGATCTAATTTCCCTCATGCCGGGCATGACCTTCGCGTAGTGCCGCTCGTTGCTCGCGCTCCAGGACATGAAGCGCAAAATCGCCGCGCCCGCAACTCTGACACGACCCTCTTCACCAACACCGCCGGCAACCCTGGCAACACCAGCAACCCTGGCAAGGCCTCTGGAAAAGGAAAGAAGAAGAAGAAGGCCGCCGCTGGCGTCGCCAAGGAGATCATCCCGGCGCCCGCGACCCCGCCGGCTGCCACTCCTTCCTGGCCCTCGCCACAGCACCCCTGGAACGGTGCCATCCAGATGTGGCCCTATGGCCAGGGGGGCCTGCTCGGCCGTGCGCCGCCCGCCTACGCCCCGGCTCCAGGCTACGCGCCCCGGCACACCCCGTCGCCGCATGCGTTCTACGCCCAGAGCCCGTACGGCATTGCCCCCTACAGTTACGACTACACCCCTGGACAGTCCTCCTACGAACTCCCCGGTCCGGCTCCGTCATCACCGGCATCAACAACTGCTTCATAGGACCAGGTCGCGCTCATGCATCAGTTCCAGACCATGGGGCTGCAAGCACCCACCAGGGAGTGGGTGATGGACACCGGCGCCTCCTCCCACTTCGCCTCCGATCCCGGTATGCTCAACTCTGTGTCTCCCCCTCCTCCTCTCGGCGTGCTGTCATTGTCGGTAACGATTCCACCCTTCCGATAACCGGTACCGGGCATGCACGTCTTCCTATTTCCACCACCTCTCGTCCTCTTTACCTTCGTAATGTCTTAGTAGTTCCTAACATAGTCAAAAACCTTTTGTCTGTTCATCAATTCACCATTGATAATCGTGTATCTGTCGAATTTGACCCCCTCGGTTTTTCTGTGAAGGATCTTCTAACCAGGACCGAGATTCTCAGATGCAATAGCCTCGGAGCTCTTTACTCCATCCATCCTTCCTCTACTAGTCAGCCACACACCTTCCTCGTTGCCGATGCAGCACTCTGGCACCGTCGGCATGGGCACCCTGGGCGGCCCGTTATGGAGTCATTAGCTCGTTCCTCGATCATCCCTAGGGAAAAGAATAAAAGTAGTTTGTGTCCTGCTTGTCAGTTAGGTCATCATGTTCGTCTTCCTTTTTCCTCCACCAATCGTGTAACCACTACTCCATTTCAAATAATTCACTATGATTTGTGGACATCTCGTGTTGAGAGTATTTCTGGCTTTAAGTATTATCTCGTTTGTCTCGATGATTTCACTCAGTATGCATGGGTTTACCCTCTAAGGATTAAGTCTGAAGCCTTCTCGCACTTGTCGTCCCTTCATGCTTTAGCGCTCACCCAGTTTAGTGCACACTTGCAGGCTATTCAGTGTGATAATGGTCGTGAGTTCGATAATTCCCTCCTCCATTCGTTTGCCCAGCACCATGGAATTGCACTCCGCTTTTCATGTCCATACACTTCGCAACAGAATGGCAAAGCCGAACGCATTATTCGTACTCTTAATGACATTACTCGTACACTCCTTATCCAAGCTAGTATGCCACCTCGTTTTTGGGTCGAAGCCCTTCACACCGCCATTATGTTGCATAATCGGCTGCCTTCCAAGGCAATCTCGGATCGTATTCCTTTTCATGCCTTACTTGGCATAGATCCTGCCTATGCTGGTCTTCGGGTTTTCGGATGTCTATGTTACCCCAACACCACAGCCGTTGCTCCGCACAAACTTGCGCCTCGTTTCGTGCCATGCGTGTTTCTAGGGTACCCATCACGGCATCATGGCTGTCGTTGCCTTGATCGTTCCACCCAAAAGATCATCATCTCTCGTCATGTAGTGTTCGATGAGTCAACCTTTCCCTTTGCCTCCACTCCATCTTCGTCAACTCCTACTCCTTCCCTGCACACTTATGATTTTTTGCAGGGTACTGAGCAGCCGGTCTCGTTGATGCCGTTCACCGTGCCAGGCACGGTGACCCCGGACGCGGCCCCACGATCGCCGCCACGGTCGTCGTCGCCACCGCCACGGCCCCCTCCACGGTCGCCGCCACCGACCTCGCCTCGGTCGCCGCCACCCACCTCGCCCCGGTCGCCTCGGGCACGAGCTTCTGCCGAGGGCCCTGCTGGGAGTCCCGATGGCGGCCCTGCTGGGAGTCCTTCTCCTACTGCAGCCGCGTCACCGCCGGCAACGCAGTCGCCGGCTCCTGCTGCTGTGGATCCACCCCGGACCCGCCGACCGCGGGCCCCTCCACCGCCACCATCCCACGCCATGGCCACTCGTGCTAAACAGGGCATTGTGCAGCCGAAAAAGATATTTGATCTTCATGTTGAGGGTTTATCTCCAATACCGAAGATTTATCATGGTGCTCTCAAGGATCCAAATTGGCATTCCGCTATGGTTGAGGAGTATGGTGCTCTTCTCTCCAACAACACTTGGGACCTCGTTGATCTACCTCGCAATGCTAACATTGTTACTGGTAAGTGGATCTACCGTCACAAGATGAAGTCTGATGGTTCTTTGGATCGCTACAAACCTCGTTGGGTGCTTCGTGGATTTACTCAGCGGGAAGGTATCGACTTTGATGAAACTTTCAGCCCGGTCGTTAAGCCATCCACTATTCGAACAGTGCTCTCTCTTGCTCTCTCTAGTGACTGGTCCATTCATCAGCTTGACGTCAAGAATGCATTCCTCAATGGCACTCTCATCGAGACTGTTTATGCTCGTCAGCCTTCTGGGTTCACTGATCCTCGTTTCCCTGATAAGGTTTGTCGTCTCAACAAATCACTCTATGGTTTGAAACAGGCGCCTCGAGCATGGTTTCAGCGGTTTGCTTCGTTCATTGCATCGGTTGGTTTCATTGGCTCCAAGTCCGACAGCTCATTGTTCGTCTATCGGCGTGGTGCTGACATGGCCTATCTCCTGCTTTATGTGGATGACATTATCCTGACTGCATCTTCCTCGACATTGTTGCACAGCTTGATTGCCTCTCTTCGTACCGAATTCAGTATGACAGATATGGGTGATCTTCATTATTTTCTGGGCATCTCTGTCACACGCAGCAAGGACAGTTTGTTCCTCTCCCAGGAGAAGTATGCATTGGATCTTCTTGACAGAGCTGGCCTGTTGCAGTGCAAACCCATCTCTACTCCATTTGATACTACCTCCAAACTTTCATCCAAGTCCAATGATCCAGTTGCAGATCCCACCGAGTATCGTAGTATTGCACGCGGTCTTCAGTACCTCACGTTCACTCGGTCGGACATCTCTTATGATGTGCAACAGATTTGTCTTCATATGCATGATCCTCGGGCTAATCATTTGCTCCTTGTGAAGCGTGTGCTTCGCTATATCCGCGGTACTACCGGCCATGGCCTCACTTTGTTTCGACGCAGCTCCAACAAATTGCTGGCCTATTCTGACGCTGATTGGGCAGGTTGCCCTGACACTCGCCGGTCTACCTCAGGCTATTGTGTATTTCTTGGCACTAACTTGGTGTCATGGTCTGCTAAGCGGCAGCACACGGTCTCTCGCTCC